ATGACTTGAAAAGTAGAAGGAAAGACTATATTGATAATAAGGATTTAAATTAGGTTTTGAACAGTCATAGACACATTTGCCTGCAAATTTATATCATTTGAATGTAATAATGTACTGATATGTTTGACAGGAAAGCTAAAAACCTAATAGATTGCTTTCTTTTTTTCATCATAACAGATTATCTAACATGACTTGAAAAGTAGAAGGAAAGACTATATTGATAATAAGGATTTAAATTAGGTTTTGAACAGTCATAGACACATTTGCCTGCAAATTTATATCATTTGAATGTAATAATGTACTGATATGTTTGACAGGAAAGCTAAAAACCTAATAGATTGATTTTTATTTTACATCTGTAAAAAAAGGTCACTTTGCAGTTTGCACGTTTACAATTTTCATAATAATGACTCTAGGACCTGATGCATTGAGGGAAAACCTCTTGAACCCAAAAAGGGAAATAAACCATCCTTTTAATGAGAGTATTTAGGGGGTGGGAGATCACAAAATAGATGGTAATCAAGGGGAAAACATGCAAGTGAGATGCAGATTGCGAGAAAAGAAAGTTTTCTTGGATATTTAAAAGTTAAGGGGGTTGTCTACTAATATCTAACACAGCGTTACTTGTGGTTTTGCAAAGGGATGGACATTGGAAACAAATTTATTTTCTTGTGCCTCGAGTTTTGAACAGAGGAAATTTTGATAGTTGTTAAGTTACCATGTATATAATTCAAAACAGAAACGATTTTTTATCACATCTGAAAGTACTATATAAATATGCTAAAAATAAACCTCAATAAGATTAAGAAAGCAATACCCTTATCATCATCTTCATCTTCCAACTCCACACTGACAGGATTCTCATCGACAGCAATGGCAATGTGATCATTATTGGTTTTCCGCAAACTGCGAACTTGAGAAGTGACTAATGATCCAGGTGTGTCCCACTTGTTATTCTGAATTAGAAGCAAAATATAAAATTATGCTGTCAAATTTTATCAAATGCAAAAAAAAAAATTAAGCATCTAGTTTAGAAATTTTGCTATTTGAACAGTATTTAAAATCAATGTTTCTGAGGCTCTATCAAATCTAAGTGGAATATTAACTTGCTTAGGGGGAAGTGGACTTTATCCAAGGATTTAAAACTCAATGATTGAGAGCTACCAAGAGCACAGAGATTGAATTTCAAAAATTAGCAGAGTTGCCAATAAAACAAAGCAATAATCAATGCTCCGTAATTAAATTAACTTCAGGACCCATAGGGAACAGCAAGGTTTTGAAAAGCGAAAACAAGCCTTGAGGCGGTGGAGCAAAATGCCTCGAGGCATAAGCTCCGAGGCGGAACGAGGCATAAGCCTCAGTTCAATATGGAAAAAATAATACTTACTAAAATATGTACTCCGAGGTAAAACAAAATGCATAATCCATTTTCATGTTAAATAAATGATGAAATCACAATTCTTGAATTTTAAAAGAAATGATACCCTATGTATATTAATTAAATGTGGACAAAAGTTCACGCAAAAAAAAAGGTACACCATTCTTTGAAGTTTGTATTGAATTTAAAAGAGGGAGAGGGGTGCTGGAAAAGAAGGAACCGAACAAAATTAAAACTTGAAAGAAATAGATATTAAGCAATTAAAATATGAAGCAATCGCCTTAGCCGCTACCACAAGAGAGAAGTTGTGCCACACTGCCACTGAAGTGTTAATTATCTACTAGGTTTATTCAGTTTTTCTTAAGAAGCTATACAGTGCACATAAAATAGGCTCAATAAATTTTTAAAAATAGCCTTTATAATTGTTGAAATTCTTATTAGAGTTAAGGCTTGTGCCTCGGTTACGTCTTATGGCCTCAGACCGCCTCAACATTGTGAGGCATACGCCTCAAGCATCCCTGCTAAGGCTTAAGCCTCGGAGGCAAAATGCAGCCGCCTTACTGCCTCGAGGCAAACCGCCTCTGTCGCCTTTTAAAACTATGAGGAACAGGCAAACATACAATCAATAAATAATATAATATTAAAAACATGTATAGCAATGTTATTATACATACATATATGTATGTACGTATATATATATATATATATATATATATACATATATATATATATATACACATATATATATACATACATACATATATATATACATACATACATACATGCATGCATATACATACATATATATATATATATATATATCTTTGTGCCATTTTCAAATGGGAAGATGAATTTGGGACAAGGGAACATTACATAATTTGTTATTGATAGTCCTTCAGAAAAAAAATCACTCGTTAAGATTTTAAAAACAAAGAGTAAACTCAAGTGCAAAAGATTAATGTTAAACCAGTAAGAATAGAGATCTCCATTTCCCTTTATTGAGACTGCTTTAATTACAGTAATGATTGTTGGTTTTGGAGAATTGGGACGAGGTGATTAGACAGGACCATATACGTTTGGCCCTTACCGAAGATTAAAGATATGACCTTAGATGGGAGCGTTTGGAGAGATAAGAGTATAAGACTATAGTAGTTGGGTAGGCATTTGCGGTTGATGGTCGTTTTTGCACTAGTAGTTGTGTGTTTTTTATGCTCGGTGTTTTATGCTTGTTTCGTTTTTCTTCATTAACCTTGGTTGGCCTTTAGTTTCTTTTATTCTCCTATGTGCTTGTTCGGATGTCTATGTTACTCAAGCTGGGGGCCTCTTGGAAACAGCCTCTCTACTTTCGAGTAGGTATAGGGTTTGTGTACACACACCATCCCCAGACCCTACTCTCATGGGATTCAAATGGGGTGTTTTTGTTGTTGAGGCAAAATACAATAGTTTGGTAGCTATTGACTTAGAAACCAAATGAACAAACCTTTTCACAATATTAAAAGCTAAAAACTTGATGACTTCATTCTCTACCAGATGAAGATGGGGAGATTCGAGAAATTCAGAGAATTTATAAAAAATTTATAAATATTTTATTCAGAGGTTTGAATTACAACAAAAAGTCCATAGCTGTTTCCTTATGCCTATTTTAATACAAAAAAAAAAGATGCATACATTGATCTACAGTCATGTAGTTAAATTTAGCATTGATGGAATTGTAATAGTGAGAGTTTTAGGTTTTGGAGAGTGACCAAAAATAATTCATAAAAATGTCCGTGCCATACGTTTTCATCTTCAAAAGTTTAACTTTGTCTCATACTTCATGAGATATGCTCATTGAAAAGGAAAAGGAAAATGAAGGTAAATAAAAAATGTAAAAGAATTTAGTACGACATGGATAGGGACTGGGTCAAGATTAAAATGAACATAGGTGAAACTTCAAGTAATATCATAAGAAGATAAAACTTATAAAATGAAATGCATACCAGTGGTTCAATTTCCACAATCTCAGAGCTTGTGCTGGGTACATGTCCCGGCTCTCCAACATCTCTTAGTATGGCCAATTGAGAATCCTTCTCGTGTAAGGACTTTTCGAGAATATCTTTATTTTGCAACAGTTCATCTACTTTAGCTTTCTCCATTTGCAAAAGCAGATCTTTACTTTGTGTTGCGGCGCGTAAGCCCTCCACTTCCGACACAATAGACATGAGTTGCTTCTGTAGACTTTCTTGATATTCGTGGAAATGGTGAACCTTCTCCTTATCAAGAATTGAATCATTCGCTTGTAGACCAGATATTGTCTTGTCTAACCATGTAACCAAATCATAAACTTCATCACAATTTTGTTTGTTGCTTGTCTGACTTAAAGCTAGTGCATCATTTGTGCATCGAGTAACCTCCTGCCGCAAAAATGATATTTCCTCATCCCGCTCATGTACTTGTGACTGTAGTGACTCAACCTCGGAGAGCAGGTTTTCAGATAGATGGTGGAGTTCATCAAACTTACTTAGTGTCACAGAAAGCTTTTTCAGAGCCTTACCACGTGAAACTTCAAGGATCTCTACATCTTTATTTTTTTGCACCAGAACTCCTTCCAGTTCTCCAATCTTGGCTGACATATCCTCCATTTGACCTTCTTCTTCATCAAGTGCTTGCATCAGTGCCTCATTTTCTGATATAAACACATATTCAGCATGAACAACGATAAGAATTGAGAACAAACACACAAGTTTGATGTTTCATATTCAAAAATTTAAATGCAGTGGTGCAACAGAGATCAAGCATACCTTGTTCCTTTGAAGCTACCATATCTTCAAGTAACCTAATTCTGCACTTTGCATCAGCAAGGGCCGAACCCTGATATTCCAATTCTTTTGTTTTATCTTCCAATTTAGTTTTCTCCTCTTCCATTAACTTCACATCTCTCTGTAAATCATTTACCTGAACCTTTGCCAACTGAAGTTCTTGCAAGTAATTACTAGCAATGGCTTCAGCATCCTTCATCTGACTAACTAGTTCCCTACAAATTTTCTCTCGTTGAATATCTTTCTCTTGAAGTTCTTTCTGTAGATTTGACATAGCAGCCTTAATGTCCTTTTGGTTAAATTCAACAAGTTCCACTTGAACATTCATTATGTCCTCCACATCTATACGCAATCTCTCACTCACAGACCTAATGCTATCTTCAGTTGAAAGGTCAGTGTTTTCGGTCAAACCTCCGCCAACAGGTTTCCAGGATACCAAAGTATTTCCAGGAGCATAATTGGCTATATTATTTTCAAGTAACTGTTCTCTCCTGTTTTCAATTTTGAATGTTGCACTAGTGCATGCCTCATAAAGCAACGAACTGCATCTACGCATCTGAATCAATTCAGAATCTTTCTCCTTCACAATAGTTTTTAGACCTTCCACGTCTTTCTTCAATGATTCAGAAGATTGTTTTTGTAAGGTTATTTCTTCATGAATACTGCCAAAAAATTCAGTTATGTGTCTAGCTTCATCATGCACCAGTTGGGAGTGCTCATCTAACATTTCGCTAATAGACCTCAGTTCTTCGACAAAAGCCTGCAGATGTACAATAAAATAATACAACCCATCTTAATTTTGATAAAACTCAATTGTGTTGACATGTTCCATTCTTACAAAGTACTACTTGAAGAGCAATTTTTAGATTTGAAGGTCAGTGGAATTTTAGTGTATTAGAATTAGTCCTAAGAATACAAGAACAAGGCTGATATAATGGCCAATGATGGGGAAAAAATTGTAAAACACAAAAAGATATTAAGAAAATTTCGCATGGTATCACAAAAAAGCTCAGAAATTTGGGCCAAGTTAAAGAAATTGTTAGAGCTAGTAATACTACAAAATAAAATGACAAAATTTATTGAAAGATACAGTCATGAGAAAATGTCAACAGCAAACAGAATGGAAAGCTATTAAGGAGCAACAACTTTTTACTTCATTTTTTGAAAGAAGCAGTTTGTTTTATAACTTCAGTCTTTTCGGTTTAACAGAAACAACAAACCCAGTAAAATCCAACAAAAAGTAGTGCCTGGGAGGATATGTGTACACAGACTCTACCCCTGCATCATATTTAAAAGAAAAAAGAGAAAAACGATCTATACACACGAGTACTTGGAGTCTTCTCAGATTTTTTTTCTTTTAAAATACTTGTAGTATGATATGAAAAACTGAATGATGTGGTATATGAGTACCAAGTTGTAGCAACATAAAACACTTTGGTCCAATAGTACCTTGTTTTCGGATGAAATAGAGAAAGTGCCGCGGGGAGCAGCACTCCCCATAAGGGGAACGGCAGTCAGGGCATCTTTTGATCCTAAGCCCGCCTTTAGGTTGGCTGCAAGTTTGCGCAAAATCTCCAAATCTTTCAAAAGCACATCTCGGAATGAATTTCTAAGAAAATAGAGAGCATCCTTAATTTCCCGCACGCTAGTTTTTAGTACCAGAAACTCAGCTGACAATTGTTGGTGGGTAGCAGATAGCCTGTCAAGATTGGCAATAGCTTCATTTTTAGCAGTGTCAACAAAATCTTTTTCCTTGGATAACCTTGATACCTCACTAAGAGCATATGATAGCTCCTCCTGGAGTCCATCATTTCTTTCCTGGACTTCATTTAATTCTGCAAGCAGCAACTCAGCTGCTCTTTTGGATTTTATAGCTTCTTGCTCTGAAGCAGCCACAGCAGATTGTAAATCTAAGCAGAGATTGCTAACATGTTTAGCCTTCTCAACAGGGCTACTGATAGTAGACAGGAAATCATGGTTGATTTCATTGAAAACATTCAATATAATGTCCAACATATGCTCCTTCTGCTGCAAAGAATATTCAGCTTCTCCCAAACGATTTCTCAAAAGCACATTATCAGCTTCTATGCTATTTAATTTTTCTTGTAATGCAGACTGATCTTTGATCCTTTCTTCACAGTCTGAAATAACATTTCCCTGAAGTTTTAACTTAGATTTCAAATTTTCCACATCAATATTTAACTCCTCAACTGATTGCTTTAAGCTGTCCCTCTGTTGCACCAAAGACTTGCCTTTTCTAACTGCAACATTAAGTTTCTCCCTTAAAGAAGCTGACTTTAGCTCCTCCCGACTAAGATGTTCCTGCAAATCGTTCTTACTCCTATTTAGAGATTCAAGTTCAGAAGCCAAAGATTGGTTCCTCGCCTCTTGATGACTAAGCAGTTCTTGTAATTCATTAATTTTCATATTCAGAGCTTCAACTTTAGAAAGCAGAGATTGATTCTTCAGCTCCTCCTGACTAAGCAGTTCCTGCAATTCTTTCTTTCTCACATTCAGATCTTCCACTTCTGAAATAAACAATTGATTCTTTGGCTCTTCCTGTGCGAGTAGTTCCTGCAATTCTTTCATATTCATATTCAAAGATTCAATTTCAGAAACCAATGACTGATTCTTCAGCTCCTCTTGACTGAGCAGTTCATACACTCCCTTCGTATTAGTAGTCAGAGCATCAATTTCAGAAGCCAGAGATTTATTCTTTAGCTCCTGCTGACTAAGGAGTTCCAGCAATTCTTTATTTTTCACATTTAGATCATCCACTTCTGAAATCAAAAATTGATTCTTTGGCCCCTCCTGTCTAAGTAGCTCCTGCAATTCTTTGATATTCATATTTAACGCTTCAACTTCAGAAACCAAAGATTGATTCTTCAGCTCCTCCCGACTAAGCAATTCATGCAATTCTTTATTATTTGTAGTTAGAGCATCAACTTTAGAAACCAAAGATTGATTCTTCAGCTCCTCCTGACTAAGAAGTTCCAACAATTCTTTCTTTTTTGTATTCAAGGCTTCAACTTCAGAAACCAATGATTGATGCTGTTCCAAAAAACTAGCTCTCTCCTCCTTCAAACACACTATGTGACCAAAAGCATCCCCCATCTTTATGTTCGGAGCACCTACATCTCTATCCTCAGCATACCTGGATTCACTTTCTCTTTGTTCGCTTTCAGTCCGATCAACCTGCAAAACACGTTCGACTGCTGCATCTTCATTAGCAGCTTTGCTAAAAGAGATCGGCGTACATTTATCTATAAGCATCCTCAGTAATTGCTCCAAATATTCAATACCATCAACACTGGGTAGATGATCATCAATGACATTGTCATGAAGAGCATCTCTAACAAGAGCTTGCAATCTTTTTATCTCCCCCGAAATATGATGAATGTGTTCCTCCCTCCCAAGCATTTCAGCCAACTTCTCTTGCAAAGAGCTGATTGTATGTTGCATATTATGGTTCTCAGTTTCGAATTGGGCAGCCATATCTGATAATGTTTCATTGTCACAGGTAACAGTCTCTAGCTTTTTTAAGAGGACATCTTTCTCATTGACGGCAGACTCAAATGAAGCCTCAATATCAAATAATCTTCTATTTGAGCCTTCTAACAAAACCTCAAAGTTATCAATCGTCTGCTGAAGAGAATTGCAATAGTTCTGAGCCTCTGAGAGCGCAAAAGCAACCCAACCAATCTTATCATTTGGCTCCACAGACCTCAGCTGTGAGGGCATTTCTATTGTATCAAGGACAGCTTCCCAATGGTGAACAAGATTGTTCCTTTCCATCAAAGACTGTTCAAGCATCTCGTTTTGTTCAGCCAACCTATAAAACTTGTTCTGCAGATCTTCATATTTTACTCTGAGGTCTTCAGAAGAGCTCAAACTTGATTGAGTATCCTCTTTCCAGCCATCCCCGACACCAGTTCCTGCTTCAGGGTAAGATCCTCCAACGATTCTTTTATGATCCCATTCAGTTGAGAGAAGAGAGTTCCCAGAAACTGACTTGGCCAACCAGTCAATTTTTTCAAGAATGCCTTGGGAATGGAAGTGTTCTGGCAGCTCTAAATCTTCAAAGATCTCCTCTATTCTCTGGAGAACCGAGTCTTTAAGAAGGAATGATTCACGTAATGCAGTAGCAGAGTTTCGAATGTAAGAGAGTTCAGATTCAAGAGCTTCCATCCGTTCAGCAGCCTCTGAATAGGTCTTGAGCTTTATCTCGAGTTCGAGAATCCTGGAATCTTTCAAATGCAATTCCTGTAAGAATTTCTCTAGTTCACTAGACGTCTCTGCAAGAGATTGTTTGAGACCATCACGCTGTACAATCAAACTTTTCCCCCTTGCAACTGCTATGCTAAGCTTCTCTCTCAGTGATGCCACGCGCTGATCAGACTGCTCAGTTTCAAAAACCTTATTATTTAGTTGTGAGTTGAGAGCCACGGCATCCTCCTTGAGTTTCTTCAAGCTTTCTTTGAGGATGAAATTTTCATTTTCAAATTGGGTGTATAATAAACTGAGCTGATCCATCTCTTTTTGCAAATTAATCATTTGCTTTTCCTTGTAGGCATCTCTCTCAGTGAGCAGCTTTACCTGCAGACGCAACACAACGATATATCATTTGAGTGAAAAATAATCATTAATAAGGAGTATTATACTATATCCATCCAAAAAGAGTATTTTTTTACCAAAGTACAACTTTTAAATTTTGCTAAGGTACACCAACAACTTATGCAGTAAAGTCCCACACAATCGAGGGGGTGGGTGTATGCAAACCTTACCCCTATGCAGAGAGGATTTTCCAAAAGATTCCAGCTCAAAAGAATGTAAAGAATACAGTGAAACAGCCAAGAACAAATATAGAGCAAGAGTAAAGCTAAATCAGCTATGAGAAAAAAGGAGTAACAACTAACAAGCAGCACACCACACAAGTAAAATTACCACAGAAACACCCCAGAAGCTGCAAAAAAGATACCCCAGAAAACATAAAGTACCCTGAGAAACCTGAACACCCATGACATCATAAAAATCTTCCTAATTTGACTTTTGAAGGAATTTATGAGAAGTGCTGAAGAGTGAATAGTATGTAGCTGGAATTTGTTTAGATGAGAGGATTTTTTTGAGCCATGTATTTGCTTCTTTAAAAGGAAGTAGAGTAGGAAATTTTTTGGGGACATACAGAGAGAGGAAGTAGGAAGCTTTTTTTGTGGGACCCAGGGAGTATTTGTTGGTTTTACTTTATTTATTGTATGCAACATGTTTAAAACTCTTTTTTGGTAAATTATATGAAAACTTAGTTTTGTTCAATCAAGTGGACAATAGGATTTTAGTGACGAAAATAAGCGCTCAAGACGAAGCTTTCTGTTTGGGAGAGTAAAACATATTATATGAGTCAGGTGTAGATGCTTCCTTTTTCTTTTCTTTTTTGTTTGGTTGTTTGTTTGTTTTTTCTTGGGGGGGGGGGGGAACAGATAAGAATGACAAAGTACTTCAGTTGATGGACTCACCTGCTCATCAGCATCTTTGTATTTTTCAACCAAGAAAAGAGTGAGAGACTGTACAAACATATCAGGTTGGTCCACACTGATATCAACCCCATCCAGTGCAACCACTCTTTCAACAAGGTCAACACACTTCAACATAGAATCTGAATCAAAGAAACATTTTTTCAGTTCCTCTGACTCCTTTTGTTTGTCCATTTCTGAAATTAGTTCAGAACTTGTAGCCTCAAGTCGCAGGCGTTCACTATTTAGCTTCTGCAACTGCTCCAAAACAGCATCAAAAACACCAGGAAGCAAAGGATCTATCGGTCTCTCATTTTTTATGTTAATTTCAGCTTCACCTACTTGATCAGGCCTCTCATTGACAATTTCAATAAGATTCTTGTAGACCCTATTAATTTGACCAATTATCATTTCATTCTCTGTTTGTAGGACATCAAACCTTTTGTGCATTTCAATGAAGCTACTGACAGCTGCTTCTTGAGAAGAGCGAGCAGCTTCATTTTGTGACTGTAGAGCTTCAATCATTTTAATGGCATTGTTGACTGAAAAAGAAATATGGCTTATCAGGGAGGGACGGTCCAATCCTGTTTCTCTTACAGTTAACAAAGAGGAGCTAGCAGGTACAGTAGACAGCTCTAGCTTACTTAGTATCTCCACAACCTCAGTAACAAGAGAATTCCATTCCTCTTTCAGTATTGAATCCTTGTCAGCCACTTCCTTCTTAAGCGCTTCCACTTGATACTGCAATTCACTAGTTTTGGTTTGAAAGTTACTCAACTCTTCTCTGAGATGACTGTTCTCTGCCTTCAATGTTACTTGATCTTTCTGCAGGGAGTCATAAAGCACCATAAAGTCTCCTTCCTTTGATATGGCATTGTTAGCATACTGACCAAAAGTTTCATTAAGAACCATGAGCACTACGTTTGTATGTTCCAAATGATCTGTATGCTCAATTAGAGACTCATATCTAGCATTCAGCTCTGCAAACACAGTGTTTGTATGAAGTTTATTCTTCATTTCACCTTCAAATAATTTGAAAGCATTTTGGGATTCCAGAAGTACATCCTTAAGCAATGCTCTTAGATTTTGTATTTGCTGCTTAGTAAGCACACTAAGGTCTTCAACTACTTGATTTCCTGACTGATGTTGATCCTCGGACACACAGTCATCTGCATGAACTTTTGACTCAAAAGCCTGAATGAGTTTAGATATTCTGGGTGTGACCACTTCACCACAAGAATTGCGCAAGGATGCAGAATGTGAGTGAATCACCTCAACAGTCTTATCAAGTTTCTCAAGTTCCCTTTCAGCACCATCAAGATATCTTTGGATAAATTCAAAGTGAAGAAAAACATTCTGCATGTTATCAGATGAGAGATTATTTACCTTTAAAAAGAAATGAGGTTATTAAGCATCCAATAATATGTCCGTCCAGTAGAATTCAGTTAAAATAAATGGTCAAAAATCAAGCCAAAACTACATAGACTTTAAATTACAAATTCAGATACGTTCTTATACCCCCTCAATCCAACAAAACTTTTCCAACTTTCTTTTTTCGTCCGTCCTAAAATAATTTTCCCACTTTTTCTTTCCCTTTTGGAAAAGAATGTGTTTCAAAATACTTCTCTTTCTTTTAAACAACACACTCACTTTTTCAACACTTTCATTAATCTCCCTAAAGTCAATGTGGGAAAACTAACTTGAGATGGAGGGAGTATTATAAAACCACGTCTTAGAAATACTGCATTCCCTTTAAAAATAAACTTAATGAAATTAAAAGGTTTACAATATTAATATATTATCTATGCTCAAAACTAAATTTGACTTTCATGGTCACCAACGCAACACTTTGGTCAATGACACACACACAATTTTAGATAGGTAAATACTATAAATCTGTTACATTCTAAAATTAATATTGAGGTTGAATCTAGTAATATTAAAATGGAAATTATAATTCCATGTCTTTGAATATGAGGTAAACAATCAATATAAATATATAAAATTCACAGATTCAAACACGCTCTAGACATAAAACACACGAATAGTGCAACTGGAATTTTCTGCTGAGACGGAGGGAGTGATACATGTACTGCAATGGGAAAACATGACAAAAATATGGGAACATGTACAATACACGAATATTGTAAGTGATTTTAAAATTGCATGTAAGTTCATATAATTTCAAAAAAATGGGAAAGTGGGGCAAAGGTAAGGGAACACATATAATATGCATTAGATGACCTATCATCATCAATTAAACTTACTTCTGCCTGGACTGCATATTGGTCACCAGAAAATTGACTTCCATTAGATTGAGAGGGTGACTTGTTTTGGGTTTCAAAATCTTTGATATTGGACTTCTGTAATAGCAAACTACTGCTCATGTGCAGATTTTCTTCAGATCGTTGTCCAAGTTGCAAACTTGCACTCTTCAGGTCATCTACAGCTGCACTACAGTGAGCTTGCAGATAAGCAACCAAGGTTTTTGATTCAGTCAGTTCCCTCAATAGTTCTTCATCGTTAATGAGTATATGTTGCTTCTCATTCTCAAGCTTAACTGTTTCCTCTATTAAAGAGGTGAGACGTGTACTTTTTTCAAAAACTTCCATCTGAAGAGCTTCCAATGAAACCTTGCTTTCCCTCAACTCTGCTACGAGATTCACATTATCATTGAGCAAAGATTGTTTTTCCTCTAAAAGCTTTTTTGATTCTTCAGTTACCAATGCCAAAAGCTCATTTGAGCTTGTTTTTTCTGCCTCAAGGGCTTTTATAGTTTTTTGGCAATCGGCTACTTCAGCAATCAGTTTATCATTCTCACAGACAAAATATTGCTTTTCCATTTCAAGCTTCCTTCTCTCCTCATTCAATAAAGTGAGATTCTCATTAGAATCTTGAATTTCTAACTGCATTGAAATAAATGAATTTCTGCACTGTGCCAACTCCATTCCTAATTTCTCATTTTCAATCACGAAGTCTTCCTTCTCGTTCTGAAGCTTCGTATTCTCCTTGGATAGAAAATCAAGATTAGAACTTAATTTTTTGTTTTCAACCTCTAAAGATGAGACCAAATTTCTGCAGCTAGCCAATTCCTCAGAGAGGTGGAAAAGGTCCTCATGTGGCATGCTTAATCTAATTTGTAACTCATCAATTCTTGCAGAAAGATCCACAACCTCATCTTTTGACAATTGCAGGAGTTTATGAAGTTCCTCCTTTTCAGCAATAACAACCTGAAATTTAGACCTAACTTGTTCAAGCTCATTCGCGAGCATTTCATTCTTGTCTTCAAGTTCATTCACCGATGCATTGACATCTGATATTTGTAACTCTGATTCTTCAACAAGCTGTAAAGATGTGAAATCTTTTGCAAGATTGGCAAGGTATAGTTTCTCCTTCACACTCTCATAAGCATCAAAATGGCTGGACGTGCATCCAGACACAGCTGAATCTCTAGACATGAACAAGAACTTGAACTCGTCTTCATCGAGGCTTCTTACAACATCTGCAAGCTGTGACAGGTTGATTAAACAAGCATTTTGGGAAGATGAAAACCCAACCAATTTTTCTTTATTAACAGAAGCATGTGGATTAACCCTATCCATGTGGCCACCATCATAATCAGCTGAAACACAATGGATCTGTATATTCTCCCCACTTGGCAAACCAGTTGAAACACCTTCATTCTGGCCACAAACCACTTGAGAACTTACAGCAGATACTGCCTCATGCGACGACTCAAGTGGAATTGAATGTCTATCACTCTCTTCTGCATCTTTAGATTCTATTGAAATTAAATTGAAATCATTTATCTCTGTGGGATAGGTTGTTTCATTCTGTTCCATTGTAAGTCCATTCTCCCCTACATCAGGTGTTGCCCGATCACTGACATGGCCACCAAACTTGTTTAAAGAATGCTTACACTCTAGTTCAACTTCTACATCACTCTTTGCACCAACTTGCTCTGGATCTGGATTGTAAGGCTCCTGCATTGCCCCTAGCCAGAAACAAATGAGACTTAATTATTAATCATGTTTGCAAGCTAAAATGCTGAATACGCTGAGACATTCTAAGCAAAATTATCCAAAGGTGAGGGAACAATCGATATCTATTACCTGATCTATGTCAGTCAGCCTTTCCACATCAACCCCGTGAGCAAGTACTTTGGTATTATTGCCTGAATCGGGGTAAGAAAGCAAGTCATCAGGCTCGTTCCGTACTGAATTGGTAGGTTTTGCTTCAGATTCAAGAGGGGCTGGCTCCGTATTAGCATATCTTACATCATCAACTAATGTTTGAGAAACTTCAACTACACAAGAATCCCCAGCATGCACACTAGGATCTGTCTGCGTTTCCAGTTCATTGGTTTCTGCGGATGATTCGTTTGTTTCAGATTTCTCTGACTCCTCTACCGGTGGAAGAATAGTAGTAGAGTCCACAGGGTCCTCTATAGTATGTAACTCTGGCAAAGATGCATCATGACTGATGCAGTCTAAAGGTCTTTGTGCACCAGGAATGTTCTGTGTATCAGCTAGAACATTAGCAGGATCTGTGGATGCTTCACTCCCAGATCTGTTGGGTTTGCCTGAGGATTTGCTGCCTTTGTTCTTCTGCCTGTATTGTTGAAGCTGGTAGCAAATGAAATGTAAGTCAAATAAATTTGAAATATGCTTTTTTCTTAAGTACATTGTTCTTCTGCCTTTGGCCTTTTACTCATCTATTGCTTGGTCATATGCGCATTGCGGAGTCGTGTTCTTTTTTGCTAAGTGAATTGTTGTATGATTTAGCTTTCATCGGGATCAAGAAATAATCCATTCAGTATAGTTTTAAAACTGCAACCAACAAACTTAGAATTGAAAATCTTTTATACTTAGTCAAAGATAAAGTATACATTAAGCATTGATCCATTCATACACTACTGCTAATTGTGAGACTAGATATATGATTTAGGAATGCAAACATGCACGTCATCATTTTTCATAGAGTCGTTGTTGAAATTGTTTTAGCTCCAATTAAATAAAGGACTCGATCAAAATGGCAAACTAAACTTCCCTGCATCTAGGGAGTTTAAATATTTTTTATGGAGTTCTATGGAGTTTAATGCAGAAAATGCATCTAGGGGTAGTAAATATTTTTTTATGAAACAAGGCCATGTTTTTATAGGGGTAGGTGTGTGTACATATTGACCCCACTCCAAACGGAGTTGAGATTATACTGAGTTTGTTACTGTTGGGAGAATAAATTTCTCTAAAGGCATAGAAAAACTGAGTTCAACAAGCAAACTCAGCTTCTACCGCATGCTCTAAAGTCAATATGCTCTTTTAAGAACAACGTCGGTAAGAATAAAATGTAAATAAAACACGGCATGATAACCAATGATAAATTAACGTAGAAAAACAAAGAGCCGCACCTTTTTCCGCCCGGCGGCTAAGAGATCCGTTCGGTTCTTATTTTTGTCCATCTGATCGGATCGACTACTATTAGGAAGGCCTCTCAGGCATCACCATGGATTCCAGGCCAGAATATCGTCAAGCTGAAAACCCAAACAAATGAGAAATTAGAAATGACAACAAAACCGACGACGCAAAAAGTTTCATTTCAATAATGGAATATCACGAAGGAGTGAATCAGGTAAACGAAATTACCACTGTTCGTCAGGTGGGAGGGATCTCAATCCAAAGCTTTGGCGATGGCGGTGATGAGGATGAACAGAGAGAGATTTGATCTGCGAGATTGGGCTTAAGAACGATGCGCCGGCGAGAAAAGGGAAATCATTTGCTCGTCATAGATCGAACGCTACTTGGGTACGTTGATCGGTTTCGTGTTCGAGTGGGAAATCTCGGCCCAGCATCGGTTACAGTGTGGGCCCGCCAGATGACCCAATAATACAATTTTTTTGGATTTTCATGTCAGCAAATACAACAAAAAAATTACATTGACAACCCATGTCCGTTTTACGGAGTAACTTTTAACATGGAACTGAAATTTTGAAGTTAGAGCAATTTTATCTGGTACGAAAAGTTTGAGTATCGGTGATGATGAGCGAAAGTGAGAAGAGTGGTTAAAATAAGGTGAGGAAAAGAAGAGAGAGAAGGGGAGAGGGAACAAGATGCACTAAGGAAAACATAAATCGGAGAGAAAGAGTGTGTCACTGAGACTAAGGGCCTGTTTAACAACTTCTGAATAGGTAAGTGCTGAACCAGTAAAAGGTCTGAACCATTAAGTGCTGAACCAATAAGAGGTTTGAACCATTAAGTGCTGAACCAGTAAGAGGTCTGAACCATTAAGAGCTAGTATATTGTTTAACTATTCAGAGGCAAATGTCTGATCAATTCAGATAAGAGGTCTTAACCATTCAGACTCTGTATAATACTTAACCATTCAGAGACAAATGTCTGAACCATTCAGACATCTGAACCATTAAGAGACTGAAACAAACAGTTTGAACCATTAAGTGATGAACCATTCAGACATCTGAACCATTAAGAGGCTGAAACAAACAGCCCCTAAGTGTACTTCTCCACCGAGAGAGCCGCGTGCATTGACATGGCACTACCACATCGACGTGCTTCACTGAGGAACACCACATCGACGTGCTTCACTGAGGAACACCACCCCTGGTCACAGATCTCTGTGACCATGGTACTTCAGCCCAATTTATTTTCATTTAACTTTTTTCATTTAATTTAATTATTCTACTATAACATCTATTTTATCCTTAATTTTTTGTGCCTAAGTCATTACATGACAAATGATCTACCCAATGACACAATATTATATACTTCGTATATAATTTTGACATTATATTTCACTTATATTTTCATTCACACTTTTGAATTAAAACAATTACGTTTTACTACTATCATTTTTGAAGGAAACACGGTTTAAGTATAAATTACGTTTTTCTTATGTTTTATTTTTGAATTAGCCTGGAAAGAAATAACCTAAAAGAAAAAAATTAACCGAAAAAAAACCTGATAAATAATAATAAACTTGAAAGAAAAGAACCAAACGAAAAAATTATAAACCCCAAAATAAAAAAAAATGTCTTTTATTCTTTTATAAAAGATACAATTTCTAATTTGAGTAAAAATATGTTAATATTAAATAAAAATAAGTGAGTAAATTTCATAAAATGTCTCAGTTATAGGTCGCTTTACATATTTAGTCCCTACATATCAAATATTACTAATTTAGTCCTCAATTATTATATCATTTTTCACGAATGGTCCTTTGTTAACGTTTTTGTTAAGAACATGGATAAAATTGTATATTCATAATTCTCTCTCTCTCCTCGATCAATTAAGCTTTCTCCCTCCTCTCATACTCTTTCTCAAACTCGTGACTGAGTTTGAAGCTCTAAACCTAAAACTGAAATGATCACTCATCTCTCAATTAGTAGTTTTCCTGGTGGAACCTAAAATCAAAACCAATAAACTTTATGTATGAGTTTTATTGGTTAGTCTCAAAAAATTACAAAGAAAATAAACATTACAACTCATCCATGAAGGTTACTGGTTTCGAATTTGGATTCCACCAGTTTGGCAAACAATTGAGAGAAGTCAGAAGAGTGATAATTTCGATTTTGGGTTCAAAGCTTCAAACTCAGCGACGAGTTTGGGAGAGGAGTGTGAACGGAGGGAAGAAGCTTAATCGAGGAGAGAAAGAAATTTGAATTTACAATTTTATCCACGTTCTTAATGAAAATGTTAACAAAAGACCATTCGTGGAAATGAATATAATAATTCGGGACTAAATTAGTAATATTTGATATGTAGGGACTAAATATGTAAAATGACCTATAACTGAGGACCTTTTTTGGAATTTACTCAAAATAAGTGTAATCATTATAGTGGGAGTGAGGACTACAGGTGTAAAGTAAGTAAGATGATGAAAACAGTCAGCACTGACGTGATACTGAGTGACTGCTAATTTAGAATGAGTGATGGTGGAGCGCTACACATAGCCTGACGAGATACTAGACGCATAGTTGTTCGGCGATTCAGAACCGTTGAGAGCTATATTTTAGAGGGCCTATTTGGAAATAGCATTAGAGATTAGCGTTAGCGTTTTGAAAAGACAATCTACAAGCAGCGTTTAGCGTTAGCGTTTTCAAAATAATATGTACCATTAAAATTTTATTCAAAATGTTAACGCTAATTTCGAACGCTCTTATAGGCCCAGAGGTTCCATACTCCATAAAAATGTGTCGAATTGGTTTTGACAAAGGTAGCTTATCAAGGAAATATAGCACTGGTAGATGTAGCCCTTGGTTATAAAATATAATTTCACATTCTCTATTAAAAAACGTTTCATATTCTATAAATATTATAAAATTTGTTATTCTTTCATTTCATGTTGCCTTTTAAAAAACCAGGAGCACTACCTCCGGATCTCGATCAATAAGGCCCTAAATCTAGCTAAATTCCTAAATTCACCCTGAAAAATAATCCTAAGTCTCCAACTGAATAAGGCCACGTATCTAGCTAAATTCCTAAATCCGCCTTGAAAATTAGTCCTAAGTCTCCAACTACCAACCGTGACTCACAATGGAAATATATGCTATCTTTTACCATGAAATTTTGGGTGGTTCCATACCTCATTTGTGTAATTGCGTGTTAAAAACAGTTTGAGTTTGGATGTTTCATTTATTTGCTTCAGATAAATCTCGTTCATCATGCGTTTATTAGAACTAAAAAAACATGGAGAATGATTCTCCAACATATTGATTCCACCTCGTTTTTGGGATCCATAAAATTTCTCTTCTCAACACCATTTTCAACTATTCGATTTTACTTTTCTTAATCTCCGTGTCAAGTCATATGATAAATTTTTTGAGACATTAAAGATTGTAAGCACAACTTCAACTCCACATCACGCATCGTGTGTGTAAGACCTTCTCTATTTGTGTATTGGTGCATGATCTACCTCTCCTTATACAGAGTACTTCACAAGATTAACACGTACAACTATTATTACCAGAAGATCAAAATATCGTTGTCATATTTGTTTTTTGTCAATAACATATTAAGAATTGTTAAACTGGTTCATCATTCATTTTCCCTATTTTAACATAATGTACTTGTCTAATTTAACATTTTTAATTCAAACATGATAAACTTTAAACTACAATTAAACAAAAACTATAATGTATACGAAGTATTAATATAAAATTATTAAATTTATCTAGTTGAGGGCTTTTACAATTTATTTTATTGTATTAATGTGCAATACAAACTGAACATATACAAAGCTCAAAGCTTATCAAGGATATAGGTCAACTTCACAAGCATATATTACTAAATGATTTAATTATTGAGATTGATGAATCATATGCTACTTAATACTCTCCATCTCACAAAACCTTTCCATTTTCACTTTTTATTAGTCCCAAAAAATACTTTTGCCATCCATTTAAATCTCCCAAGATTACACGCACCCTCACAGAGACGTTTTCACTTTACACCATACAACCCCTAAATTAAATCACTTGTGGTAAGTTCAAAGCTTCACAAATTACAAGGGTGGAATAATGATATACTCACTATTAGTATTAGTTTAAAAAATACCAAGTAGCATGGGATTAGAATTGAAAAGCCTATGTGATTCCAGATAAATGAAATAAATTCACATTCGAAGTATACATTTCCGCAAAAAATAAGCTCAACCACACTCATTTATACTCCATATTTTCTTAAACTCCGTGAAAAACAAACTTTTTTTCCTTTCGTCCCACATAACAACTTCTCACTTGCAAGAATACCCTTTAAAAGGATGGCACCTTTCGTTGCAATAGAAGTTGTTATGAGACGAAAGATGGCACCTTTCATCGCAATAGAGACGCTAGAGGGTGTGGTTTGTGATATCCAAAACAGTAATTTTGTGAAAATGAAGATGCAAAGGAGCATCACGGATTCACCGGTTATAGCTGGTAAATTGGAAAATGACAAAATATAACGAGAATTCAATACGTAGCAACTTTCATGGACAGGTGCAGCAGCACACATACTGGATAAAAGCCATCAAAGGTTCAAGTTTCATAGTCGACTATATCGTTCAGCTCGCTTGACAAACACAAAGAAAAAGTGTGACTTACATGAAAATGCAATGCATCTCTGAGGTTTAGTAGGGTACGTTCTTGGGGAGGACTCGGATGACATTGTTTCTGATACCAATCTTAGTGCGCATGACCTCCGGGCCAGATCTGTTCATGGCCTTCAGCAACTTCATCTGAACCATGTTCTCCCTCGACTGCACAGTTGCTAGCCCCAAGCTTCTATACCTGAAAGACATAAATTTGCATCGCTTTTCATAGTCTACATAGATGGAATACATCTTTAGACTAACTAAAGGGACATAGAGTTATACTTCAGGTGTCATGACGGAATAAGGAATGGGATTCTAATGGTTGTTTGGTTTGACTTTGGATTGTAGCCTATCAGCCACACCAGGAGAACGATGTTCTAATGGTTGCCAAACCAGAGGGGGGTTGGGGTGAAGGAATGGGTTTGAGAATTGGAGGCGGTTTCAGAAACGAGTTTTAGGAATCATTTTTCATAAGCAAGCAAGATAAATGAGCTTTTGGACTCCTCAAACATATATGGCCCAAAATAAATGATATGCCAAACATGAACCTGGAAGCTAATGCAGCGGTTAGAGCGATATCGCCATCCCGGCTGGGCCTGAGTTTCTGGCGGTAATAGCGCAGAAATTCTCTAGATCCAAGTGTTTTGGTAGAGACTCCATTCTCTGTTCTTTTCTTGATTATTAGCTCTGCTCCACCA